CCATGTATGTTTGTTAGACTATTTTCATACGTTCAAACCATACATAGTTTTTTCCCTTCTACATATTCGCCAACAGCCATTTTTCCATATCTGCATCATCTATCAAACCACCTGTCCACGATATAATTTGTTTGTAGTTCTTCTTGTGCATGTCCATTACAACTTGGACATTTTCCCTATTTTTACGCAAATGGTCGAGTACCATTTGACCGCGTGTATGTGTACCATTCAATTCGACTGTGGCATGGTAGAGACGTTGTTTGGCAATAGCCAATTTTTTAAAACAATAAGCTGCCACTAGTATGGCATCGCAAACAATCCATTTGACAAAACCTTTAGGTAAATAGACAGCATACTCCGCCGTATTCATAAGTTGCATGGCTTTTGTCTCCACTTTGCCCAGAACGTTAATGCGCCAGTCCTGTTAGAGCATGAAAATTAAAATATATTGTTTTTGGAAAATTAGGAAATTTTTCATTATTTATGAAATTACCATTTCTAAGTTCATTTCACCGTCAACACAAGATTCCCAGGGCAGCACTGTGAGGTCATGTTCTTTGACACTTTCGAAAACAATGTGAGCAGCTTCGGGATCCATCATAAAATTAAATTCTGCACATTTGGTTAAATTACCTTTGCCTAAAGATAAAATAGAAAAATAGTTTTTAAATTTTCACTATTTTACGGGATAGGTCTCATTAAACTCACCTTTATAATTGCCACCCATTACATAGATATTACGAACTTTACTCAAAAACTCATTGCCATACATATTGATACAAGTGGCGAAATTTGTCAAAGGACCCACCAATATGAAATCAATCATATTTGGATACTGAAAAGAAAACCTTTTTTAAAATATACTTAACCGTTTGAATTCCAAAACCATAAAAACTTACCATACAAACCATAGAGTACATGGCATTAACCGCATGTTGGGTTTGTGGTAAAGTTGAGACAACTTCGGGTAAATCGGAAATATCACCAAAACCATCGACACCATAAGCATAACGATTGCATTCCCAGTTACGGGGTAAAAGGGGATTTTTACAGCCCCTATAAACGGGAATCTGTAAATGAATATATGTATGTATATGATGTTATATATTATTAGGATTCTTTATAGCTTCCCCAGAGGAAAGGGGAATTAGTCTTACAACTGATCCCTCTGGGAAAATTGCTTCTAAGATTTTGTAAAAAATAACTTGTGTTTTTATTGGAAAATAATAGTGGGAGAAAAATTTCCCCAAAATATACTTACATCCAATCTATCCACACTTTCCAATACTCTCAAAGTATTTCGGACACAACTATCCACATCGGTATTGCCCTGCACACAGGTGATTGCCAATAGTTTATAAGCATCTGGTAGGCTCTCTCTCTCCTTATCGGTTTTAACATTCTGTGAAAGTTTTTGAAACAATTGCTCACCTTTGATGAGCATAAGAAGACCCCAAGCATCATCAATACCAACATCACAGTCGTAAATAACGAAACCACCAGCAGTTGACATTATTTTTGAATTGGTTTTTTCGGTTTTGGGGTTTAAAATGTTTTTATTTTGTTGTTGCTGCTTTTTTCGTTGTTGTTGTGATAATCGGGCCGGAATTTTTAAAGCCTATAAGAAAAAAAATTGTAGAAAACTTTTTATAATCTTATATTTATTTAAAAAACATGCCATGAACACCTTGTAGTTTGACCTTTGACCTCAACAGTTAATGGTTTAAGATTGTCCGTTTAATAAAAAAAAACTTCGGAAATATATTTGTTATTATCTAGATATAATAGCCTGAAAATATTTTCGTGTTTAACAGTTAAGTATTAAGACGCATTATCTGAAATATAATGCGTCTTCCCGAAATCCGCCGAATTAAAATGCCATTTCGATTTCTTTAAAATAAAAGGCAAAAATAATTAATAGCAAAAAACTAGTTAATAAAATTAATTATTAAAATTTGTAGTTTTATTGGTTTGGTTAGCTTTTGTTGTTGTTAAATTTAATGGATAATACTTAGTTTCCCTGAAGAATTTCAACATTAGGTTGGGCTATCAAAACTGATCGAACTTTTATGTTCGACATAAATATGCATGTATTGTTCGTCGATATGTTCTTATATATTAGATCGAAAACAAAGTCGCTGTTGAGATCGTAAAAAAAACAGTTGATTATAATTTAATATTATGTGGATATTTTAGTAAACTTATTATCTGATTTCTCAGAGTTTAAAAGCTAAAACCATGAATATATGCACAATATTTTTGTGCTTTTTCAATGACTTGAAGAACTTGTTTCAAAATAGTTAACAAAGCTTGGATTGTTTAAATACAAATGGTCTACAGTCTAGTCTAAGTCTAGTCTATAGTCTAGTCTAAAGTCTAGTCTATAGTCTAGTCTATAGTCTAGTCTATAGTCTAGTCTATAGTCTAGTCTATAGTCTAGTCTATAGTCTAGTCTATAGTCTAGTCTATAGTCTAGTCTATAGTCTAGTCTATAGTCTAGTCTAGTCTATAGTCTAGTCTAGTCTATAGTCTAGTCTATAGTCTAGTCTATAGTCTAGTCTAGTCTATAGTCTAGTCTATCTATGTCTTAGTCTAGTCTAGTCTATAGTCTAGTCTATAGTCTAGTCTATAGTCTAGTCTATAGTCTAGTCTATAGTCTAGTCTATAGTCTAGTCTATAGTCTAGTCTATAGTCTAGTCTATAGTCTAGTCTATAGTCTAGTCTATAGTCTAGTCTATAGTCTAGTCTATAGTCTAGTCTATAGTCTAGTCTATAGTCTAGTCTATAGTCTAGTCTATAGTCTAGTCTATAGTCTAGTCTATAGTCTAGTCTATAGTCTAGTCTATAGTCTAGTCTATAGTCTAGTCTATAGTCTAGTCTATAGTCTAGTCTATAGTCTAGTCTATAGTCTAGTCTATAGTCTAGTCTATAGTCTAGTCTATAGTCTAGTCTATAGTCTAGTCTATAGTCTAGTCTATAGTCTAGTCTATAGTCTAGTCTATAGTCTAGTCTATAGTCTAGTCTATAGTCTAGTCTATAGTCTAGTCTATAGTCTAGTCTATAGTCTAGTCTATAGTCTAGTCTATAGTCTAGTCTATAGTCTAGTCTATAGTCTAGTCTATAGTCTAGTCTATAGTCTAGTCTATAGTCTAGTCTATAGTCTAGTCTATAGTCTAGTCTATAGTCTAGTCTATAGTCTAGTCTATAGTCTAGTCTATAGTCTAGTCTATAGTCTAGTCTATAGTCTAGTCTATAGTCTAGTCTATAGTCTAGTCTATAGTCTAGTCTATAGTCTAGTCTATAGTCTAGTCTATAGTCTAGTCTATAGTCTAGTCTATAGTCTAGTCTACAGTCTAGTCTATAGTCTAGTCTATAGTCTAGTCTATAGTCTAGTCTATAGTCTAGTCTATAGTCTAGTCTATAGTCTAGTCTATAGTCTAGTCTATAGTCTAGTCTATAGTCTAGTCTATAGTCTAGTCTATAGTCTAGTCTATAGTCTAGTCTATAGTCTAGTCTATAGTCTAGTCTATAGTCTAGTCTATAGTCTAGTCTATAGTCTAGTCTATAGTCTAGTCTATAGTCTAGTCTATAGTCTAGTCTATAGTCTAGTCTATAGTCTAGTCTATAGTCTAGTCTATAGTCTAGTCTATAGTCTAGTCTATAGTCTAGTCTATAGTCTAGTCTATAGTCTAGTCTATAGTCTAGTCTATAGTCTAGTCTATAGTCTAGTCTATAGTCTAGTCTATAGTCTAGTCTATAGTCTAGTCTATAGTCTAGTCTATAGTCTAGTCTATAGTCTAGTCTATAGTCTAGTCTATAGTCTAGTCTATAGTCTAGTCTATAGTCTAGTCTATAGTCTAGTCTATAGTCTAGTCTATAGTCTAGTCTATAGTCTAGTCTATAGTCTAGTCTATAGTCTAGTCTATAGTCTAGTCTATAGTCTAGTCTATAGTCTAGTCTATAGTCTAGTCTATAGTCTAGTCTATAGTCTAGTCTATAGTCTAGTCTATAGTCTAGTCTATAGTCTAGTCTATAGTCTAGTCTATAGTCTAGTCTATAGTCTAGTCTATAGTCTAGTCTATAGTCTAGTCTATAGTCTAGTCTATAGTCTAGTCTATAGTCTAGTCTATAGTCTAGTCTATAGTCTAGTCTATAGTCTAGTCTATAGTCTAGTCTATAGTCTAGTCATAGTCTAGTCTATAGTCTAGTCTATAGTCTAGTCTATAGTCTAGTCTATAGTCTAGTCTATAGTCTAGTCTATAGTCTAGTCTATAGTCTAGTCTATAGTCTATAGTCTAGTCTATCGTCTAGTCTATAGTCTAGTCTATAGTCTAGTATCTGTCTAGTCTATAGTCTAGTCTATAGTCTAGTTCTACTAGTCTAGTCTATAGTCTAGTCTATTGTTCTTAGCTCCTAGTCTAGTCACAGTCAGCTATAGTCTAGTCTATAGTCTAGTCTATAGTCTAGTTCATAGGTCTAGTCTATAGTCTAGTCTATAGTCTAGTCTATAGTCTAGTCTTAGTCTAGTCTATAGTCTAGTCTATAGTCTAGTCTATAGGTTTAGTCTATAGTCTAGTCTATTAGTCTAGTCTATAGTCTAGTCTATAGTCTAGTCTATAGTCTAGTCTATGTCTAGTCTATAGTCTAGTCTATAGTCTAGTCTATAGTCTAGTCTATAGTCTAGTCTATAGTCTAGTCTATAGTCTAGTCTATAGTCTAGTTATAGTCTAGTCTATAGTCTAGTCTATAGTCTAGTCTATAGTCTAGTCTATAGTCTAGTCTATAGTCTAGTCTATAGTCTAGTCTACTAGTCTAGTCTATAGTCTAGTCTATAGTCTGTCTAGGCTAGTCTATAGTCTAGTCTATAGTCTAGTCTATAGTCTAGTCTATAGTCTAGTCTATAGTCCTAGTCTAGTCTATAGTCTAGTCTATAGTCTAGTCTATAGTCTAGTCTATAGTCTAGTCTATAGTCTAGTCTATAGTCTAGTCTATAGTCTAGTCTATAGTCTAGTCTATAGTCTAGTCTATAGTCTAGTCTATAGTCTAGTCTATAGTCTAGTCTATAGTCTAGTCTATAGTCTAGTCTATAGTCTAGTCTATAGTCTAGTCTATAGTCTAGTCTATAGTCTAGTCTATAGTCTAGTCTATAGTCTAGTCTATAGTCTAGTCTATAGTCTAGTCTATAGTCTAGTCTATAGTCTAGTCTATAGTCTAGTCTATAGTCTAGTCTATAGTCTAGTCTATAGTCTAGTCTATAGTCTAGTCTATAGTCTAGTCTATAGTCTAGTCTATAGTCTAGTCTATAGTCTAGTCTATAGTCTAGTCTCTAGTCTAGTCTATAGTCTAGTCTATAGTCTAGTCTATAGTCTAGTCTCTAGTCTAGTCTATAGTCTAGTCTATAGTCTAGTCTCTAGTCTAGTCTATAGTCTAGTCTCTATAGTCTAGTCTATAGTCTAGTCTATAGTCTAGTCTAAGTCTAGTCTATAGTCTAGTCTATAGTATAGTCTATCGTCTAGTCTATAGTCTAGTCTATAGTCTAGTCTATAGTCTAGTCAAGTCAGTCTATAGTCTAGTCTATAGTCTAGTCTATAGTCTAGTCTATAGTCTAGTCTATAGTCTCGTCTATAGTCTAGTCTATTAGTCTAGTCTATAGTCTAGTCTATAGTCTAGTCTATAGTCTAGTCTATAGTCTAGTCTATAGTCTAGTCTATAGTCTAGTCTAGTCTAGTCTATAGTCTAGTCTACAGTCTAGTCTATAGTCTATAGTCTAGTCTATAGTCTAGTCTATACTCCAGTTTATGGTCTAGTCTATAGTCTTCTCTAGTCCATTAAACCATTCTTACAAAGACTTACCAGAAGATGTTCAATACCTATTTGTTTTTTTATCAACTTTTAAAATTTCCACAAAATACACCACAACTGTTCTAAATAACTAACTGCGGCCAACTAATTTATCTTCTAACAAACTCTTCACAAACTACAGTTTGATTATTAAATTTTAATATTTAATTATGCGTTTTGTTTTTTTGTTACTATAAATTTAAATATTCTCTCTACAAATTTATTAATATCATTTCATGGTTTTTTCCTCCTTGTTTTACTCATTTTCGTACTCTTTTTGGAAAAATTATGAATAAATATTAAGAAAGAGTAAATGATTTTTTTTGTGGGTGAATAGGTGATAAATAGTAGAGGTGTTTAGATAATTAGTTCGGCCCAAATAAATAAAGTGGAAAATCATAAGTGGTTTTGATTTTTAACTTTAAGGAATGCTTGTCTATCCAGGCTACTCCTGCGTTCGAGTCCTGGAGTAGCCTGGTACCTTTTTGTTTAATACTTTATGTTCAAAATATTATAGAGTTTATATATTTTCAGTACTTATAGGTGGGTTGGGGATGTGGATCTTCGACCTTGACTATATAGATCGAGTATAGTTAGACTACCCGCTTTAGTACTTCCTTATGGGTTGGGGATGTGGATTTTCGGTCTTGACTGCAATTAAACTGCTTTAGGATTTTGATCTTTACGCCGCTTAACCATCTAATATATCTCTTTATCTAATTATCATTAGATATCTCACACATCCTATTCTTTATTACGCCCATATTTAAGAAGATGTCAAGAATAGACAATGAAATCTCAGTATATCAAGAGTCTTAGTACATTGAAGTTGAGAGTCAATATGTGTATGTGGAAATACATGTTAATGCTTGTCGTCTCGGGATCTAGTTTTCAGATTCACAAGATCATTTAGAAGATAGCATAGTATTAAATATGGGAAAACATAAAAACTTATTTTTTCTTAAAATGCTAGATTTTAATTTAAACTACTCTGGGTTTTAAGGTATATCTCTTTTTTATTTTTTTAATTTCTCTTATGTAGATTTAAATTTTGCTTATTAAATTTATTTATAAAATTTATAAATAAAACATAAGCAACAACTTTCAAATACATTTCTTCAAAATTGTCAATGTATGTATCTTTTGTATCTGTATTTTTGTTTAAAAGATTTAAAATTCTTCTTTAATTTAGCTTTAAAATTTTATATTGGTTAAAGATATAATCACGCTAGCAGTAGATATCTACATATCTGTCTTCTGCAAATGTTTTTTAATTTAATCTAATTTTATTTTAGATTAAAAGAGAGTGATTAAAAATAAATTATGTTTATTCATGAGATAACAAAAACATGAGATAAATAAAATTTTGCAAAATCTCAAGCTGGAAGCTCTCAAAATATCATTTATAATTAACTTATAAATGCGTTTATCTGCTCAAAATGTTACTTCACTTTAATTACTCAGAACCCAGCACCATTTCAAAAACGAAAAAGTACCAAAAAACTTACCTTTTATTGATTTTGGACTACTCAGGACTTTGAATTTTAATGTTATATAGTTCAAAGTTCAGTCGAAGAACTAAAAATAACCATAAAGTCCTCTTTTATAGATTCTCATTTACACGAAACTCGGGATTTAATATTATAGAAAACTCAAAAAGTACCATTAAAAAAAACCCAAAAGTCCCAAAAAGTTACCTCTTATATATATTTTTTTTTTTAATTTTATTTAAAAATAAAGCAATTCTACTTAAATTAAAAATTTATTCCTAACCTAATATTTTATATTAAATAAAAAAATTGCAAAACTTTTTGTCACACATATACATATTCACATTTACATATATTTCCGTAACGTTGCTAAATGGGATCATATCATAGTTGCAGCAGCACGACAAAAGCACTCGCCATATCCTAACGTACCACAACATAACCTCCTTTCTTTTAAAAATACAACTAATATTGTAAATAACTATTCCAACGCTCTCCCTTTATATGTTTGTTTAACTATTTACATAGTTTTTCCGTTCTACATATTCGCCAACAGCCATTTTTCCATATCGGCATCATCTATCAAACCACCTGTCCACGATATAATTTGTTTGTAGTTTTCCTTGTGCATGTCCATTATTATCTGAGCATTTTCCAAGTCTTTACGCAAATGGTCGAGTACCATTTGGCCGCGTGTATGTGTACCATTTAGCTCGACTGTTGCGTGATAGAGACGTTGTTTGGCAATGGCCAATTTTTGAAAACAATATGCTGCCACTAGTATGGCATCGCAAACAATCCATTTGACAAAACCTTTAGGCAAATAGACCGCACATTCTACTGTATTCATTAGTTGCATGGCTTTTGTATCCACTTTGCCCAGTTCATTGATGCGCCAGTCCTGTTCGCGTATAAAAATTAAAATTTATTGTCTTTGGTCAATTCTTTTGTAAAATTAGATAAAAGTTCATTATTTACGAAATTACCATTTCTAAGTTCATATCACCGTCGACACATGTTTCCCAGGGCAGCACAGTGATGACATGTTCTTTGACACTTTCGAAAACAATGTGAGCAGCTTCGGGATCCATCATAAAATTAAATTCTGCACATTTGGATAGGCCGGGACCGGAAGATAAAATAGCAAAGAGGTTGAAAAAGCCCACAGGACAGAAAAACAAGGGAAGGAGGAGAGAGCAAAGGCGGAAGGGGCCCGAAGCGAGAGGAGGGCGGCGAAAAGGGGAGCGAGCGAGCGAGCGAGCGAGCGAGCGAGCGAGCGAGCGAGCGAGCGAGCGAGAGCGGCGAGGAGCGAGCGAGCGAGCGAGCGAGCGAGCGAGCGAGCGAGCGAGCGAGCGAGCGAGCGAGCGAGCAGGCGAGCGAGCGAGCGACCAGAGAGAGAGAGAGCGACGAGCGAGCGAGCGAGGAGGAGCGAGCGAGCGATCGAGCGAGCGAGCAGGAGCGAGCGAGCGAGCGAGCGAGCGAGCTATCGAGAGCAGCGCGCGAGCGAGCGAGCGAGCGAGCGATCGACTATCTATATATCTATCTATCATCTATCTATATCGATCTATCTATCTATCTATCTATCTATCTATCTATCTATCTATCTAGCTATCTATCTATCTATCTATCTATCTATCTATCTATCTATCTATCTATTACAAATGTTTTCATTCTACTCACCTCTATAATTGCCACCCATTACATAGATATTACGAACTTTACTCAAAAACGCATCGCCATACATATTAATACACATAGCGAAATTTGTCAAAGGGCCCACCAAAATAAAATCAACCATATAGGGATACTGGAAACAAAAACCGCCTTTTAAAAAATAACCATTGAAATATAAATAAACGACAAAAACTCACCGTACAAACCATTGAGTACATAACATTAACCGCATGTTGAGTTTGGGGAAGAGTAGAGACAACTTCGGGTAAATCCGAGATGTCACCAAAACCATCGACTCCATAAAAATAACTAGTGCGTTCCCAAGAACGTGGTAAAATCGGGGTATTGCAACCCTTATAAACGGGAATCTGTACAGTTAAATCAATATTAAGTTAATAATTGCTTTCAAAACTCGGTATAGTTACACCAAAGGAAAGGGAATTGAGAAAGTACTAGTTTTCTGACTGAAGTTTATAAATTAACAATTTGTCGTTTTAATTTTGTGCAAATTTTTCTTTTAACAATTCCCCAAATATACTTACATCCAATCTATCGACGCTATCCAATACTCTTAAGGCATTTTGGGCACAACTATCCACATCTGTATTGCCCTGTACACAGGTGATTGCCAATATTTTATAAACATCTGGTAAACGTTCTCTCTCCACATCGATTTTAACATTCTGCGAGAGTTTTCGAAATAATTGCTCACCTTTGATGAGCATAAGAAGACCCCAGGCATCATCAATGCCAATGTCACAGTCATAAATAACAAAACCACCAACAGTTGACATTGTTTTTGTATTTCTGTTATCTATTTAAATTTCTTAAGCACGTTTTGGGGTTAATAATGTTTTAATTTTGTTGTTGTTACTGTTTTTGGTTAAATATCTTCGTATGTTGTTGTTATTGTTGACGCCGCGATAACCGAGCTGGGATTTTTGGAGCCTATAAGTTTTTTTGTTTTTAATTGTGTAAAATATTTTTTTTTGTAATCTAATATTTAGTTTAAATAAAATCTTACCAGAAAAAAATTCACCAATTTGTTTTGAATATCTTATAAAAAAAAATTAAAAACAAAACAAACTTAAAAAATATTGTCTTTCAACTTAAAACGCTCACTAAACACACCGCATTTGTTCTACTAATAACTAACTGCCGCCAACTAATTTATCTGCTGCCAAGCTGCTCCACTGCCCAACTACTATTTAATATTTAATTATTCTCCACGTGTGTTTGCGCTCCTCAAAATCTATTTTACATTTTTTACTCTTTTTCTTTCTTGCTTTACTCATTTTTGTGCTCTTCTTTGGAAATGTATCGGTTATTTAACCCTACAAATTATGAATGAATAATAAGAAAGAGTAAAAGAAAATCTTTCTTGTGGGTGAATAAGTGATAAATAGTAGTGGGGTTCAGTTAATTAGCACCGGTCCATAAATAAATTAAAGTGAAAAATTAAAACAAATTGGAAGAATGATATCTTTTTGAAGCTATTGTTCTGGATGGTCCTTTGCGGGTAGCAAACAATTCGCTAATTATAACACAGGAGAATTGACTCTCTTTTGGCGTTCTATGACAGATCTCAAATGCAATTTGGTACCGATTTTATGACATGAGTACCCAGCAGTTTGACCAAGAGTCTTTGCGTCTGAAAATGGGAGTATTTTCCACTATCCTCATTGAGTCTAATTCGTCTTTCGCTCTTTTGTAAGCGAGAGCGAAGACAGTTGTCACTTTACTATCCCCGAGTAATCTAAAATGTAGACACTTAAAAAAACTTAAGCGAATTTTTCATTGTCATGTATTGTCGCCTTTGAACTAGCTTCCTTCTAGGACAAGCACATGTTAAAATGGCTTGTTATCCGTAACACTATACAGGAGTACCCCAAGTGGTAGGTTAAATAGCTAGTTTGGGACTATATTCCCGAATTGCTGGGTTATAAAAGCAAAGGGAATTAAATTGACGTAAAACTAGTACCGGGACTGGTTCTTTATCTGAAGGTCATAAGTCTCTTTGACATGATGATGTCCTTAGGAGATGGAGAATTGACATATCAAAAGTAGTACAAATCAGTCTGTTCCATATTTTGAAATACCTACTAAATTAAGTTAAAAAGGATCAGATGGTAGTCGCCTATATGAAGGATAAATTTCCGTCATATTCATGATCAACTATTCTATATCCATAGCCATTATACAAAGATGAAGTTTGGGTTAATTGAAAATGTAATATCCAACATTTTTCCTTTAGTGATCCGGTTCAATACTTTCAATGTTCATCAGTCCTTCAATTAGGAACGCCTATCTTGTTGTTAAAGCTTATGTGGGAAGTATTTGAAGAAAATTTCAACCCTGGAATCTCATCCTCCGATAGAGCTGTAAGGTCGGCATCAGTCTATAGCTTCCTTCATATGATGTCATTGAAGTTTTATCGAGCTCATTTTAAGGTCCACAATTATGTCGAAACTTATCGTTTGAATGAGTTTTAGCTTTCCATCTGATCACATTACCATTTGATCACATAACGGGTTTTCTCCACATCTTTTAAGAAGATGTCTAAGCCATTAAAGTTTTGCGAGAATTTGGGCCTGGAATAAAAGAATAGACAAAAAACTATCGCGATATTTTATATTTCATTCTGATGATAAATGGATTTTTTGAGTTTTTTTTTAAGAAAAGTTTATGAACCACTTAGTATTGAGCGAGAATAATATTAATGAGCAGTTACCATCCGATTGAACAATCCGTTAATTGTGTATTTCCCACATTTCCTCATATCCTGGAACCAATATCAATTCGTTAAAGTTTCGTCCGATTTGAGATATGGAGTAAATGTATTTAAGAAAACATTTCGATCATAATGCATTGGAGTTGATAGATGTAATTTTCGGGTTCTTCTCTTAAATATATAATTAAATTGTACCAGAACTTTTCGAACTTACCACGTATTTATCACGGAATAAACTTAAAATCCCATTTCTCTTAAATTACAACAATTCAAATTACTCTGTCGACTTCTGATAAACATCTCTTAATTTGTTTAAATTACTCTTAAGAATGCAATAAATTTTGAATTTTGCTTATTAAAATTATTTATAAATTGTTTTATTTATAAATAAAGCAGTGAGTATATGTAAACAACTCTCAGATACCGCAAATTTTATTAAAATTTTCTACAAAACCGGCATTGCGAATTTTCTTGAAAATTGTCAAGTATATAATTAATAGCTTTCTATGTATTTTTTGTTTGCAATATAAAATTCTATTTTAATTTAGCTGAATTAATGTAAGATACCTATATTTTTTGCAAATTTTATTTGCCTAAAGAAAGAAATGTAAAAATAAATTAATAATTTCCTTTTGGATTAGTTATCACGCTTGCAGTAGTTATCCCTCATCTATCTACTGCAAGTGTTTAATATTAAACTAATTTTATTTTAAGTGAAGAATTTAATTAAGTTATAATGTTTATGGAAAATGAAGTGTGATTAAAAATACATTACATATTTGTTTATGGGATTTAAAGTGAAGTGTTGTGATTAAATGGAAATTTACATAAACATGTGTTCAAAAATTAAATAAAGTGTATGCAATTTATATTAGACGCCAGTTCTGGGAATATGTCATTATAATTCAATTAATAAACCATTTTTATTAGCTTTTGTGGGAAGTATTGGAATTAGTTATAATAGAAAAATATTTGAGTTTTCTATTTCATCAAGTCTTGAACATGGAAATTTAATGTAAATTATGCGTAAACTATAATCTAAACTATAGACTTGACCATATACTAAACCATAGACTACACTATAGACCAGACTATAGACTAGACTATAGACTAGACTATAGACTAGATTATAGACTAGACTATAGACTAGACTATAGACTAGACTATAGACTAGACTATAGACTAGACTGTAGACTAGACCATAGACTAGACTGTAGACTAGACTATAGACTAGTCTATAGACTCGACTATAGACTAGACTATAGACTAGACTATAGACTAGACTATAGACTAGACTATAGACTAGACTATAGACTAGACTGTAGACTAGACTGTAGACTAGACTATAGACTAGACTATAGACTAGACTATAGACTAGACTATAGACTAGACTATAGACTAGACTATAGACTAGACTATAGACTACACTATAGACTAGACTGTAGACTAGACTATAGACTAGACTGTAGACTAGACTATAGACTAGTCTATAGACTCGACTATAGACTAGACTATAGACTAGACTATAGACTAGACTATAGACTAGACTATAGACTAGACTATAGACTACACTATAGACTAGACTATAGACTAGACTATAAACTAGACTGTAGACTAGACTATAGACTAGACTATAGACTAGACTATAGACTAGACTATAGACTAGACTATAGACTAGACTATAGACTAGACTATAGACTAGACTATAGACTAGACTATAGACTAGACTATAGACTAGACTAGACTAGACTAGACTATAGGACTAGACTAGACTAGACTATAGACTAGACTATAGACTAGACTATAGACTAGACTATAGACTAGACTATAGACTAGACTATAGACTAGACTATAGACTATAGACTAGACTATAAACTAGACCATAGACTAAGACTATAACAAGACCATAGACTACACTATAGACTAGACTATAGACTAGACTATAGACTAGACTATAGACTAGACTATAGACTGGACTATAGAACTAGACTATAGACTAGGACCATAGACTAGACTATAGACTAGACTGTAGGACTAGACTATAGACTAGACTGTAGACTAGACTATAGACTAGACTATAGACTAGACTATAGACTAGACTATAGACTAGACTATAGACTAGACTATAGACTAGACTGTTAGACTAGACTATAGACTAGACTGTAGACTAGTCATAGACTCGACTATAGACTAGATATAGACTAGACTATGCTAGACTATAGACTATAGACTAGATATAGACTAGACTATAGACTAGACTAGACTATAGACTAGACTATAGACTAGACTATAGACTAGACTATAGACTAGACTATAGACTAGACTATAGACTAGACTATAGACTAGACTATAGACTAGACTATAGACTAGACTATAGACTAGACTATAGACTAGACTGTAGACTAGACTATAGACTAGACTATAGACTAGACTATAGACTAGACTATAGACTAGACTATAGACTAGACTATAAACTAGACCATAGACTAGACTATAAACAAGACCATAGACTACACTATAGACTAGACTATAGACTAGACTATAGACTAGACTATGGACTAGACTATAGACTGGACTATAGACTAGACTATAGACTAGACTATAGACTAGACTATAGACTAGACTATAGACTAGACTATAGACTAGACTATAGACTAGACTATAGACTAGACTATAGACTAGACTATAGACTAGACTATAGACTACACTATAGACTAGACTATAGACTAGACTATAAACTACACTATAGACTACACTATAGACTAGAGTATAGACTAGATTATAGACTATACTATAGACTAGAATACCGACTATACTGTAGACTAAACTATAGACTCGTCTGGACTGTAAAATGGATCATAGACTTGGCTTTAAACTTGACTATAGATTAGACTATAAACTAGACTGATATTGATATTCTTTTATTTTAATTGCGGTTAAATTTAACTTCAATAAGAGTTGCGAAGCACCCAGGGTAAGCTAGTCAACTATAGTAGTTAATAACTATTAACTGGTAGCCCTTAAAATAACATTTATAATTTAACTACTATCTACGCTTATCTCTCACAAAATGTTACTTTACTTAGAAGATCTTGTTACTATATAAATTTTTATAATTAAGAATTATATATGTACATATGTACTTTGATACCTACATATGGTATGTATGTTATCAACATTTTAAGCACCGATTGCAAATTGTTTTATTACACAGACAATATAATTTATTATAGAAAATGTAAATAAATAAACAATATACAAGTTTATTGCTCCAGTTTGTTTTTCTATTTCAATAAGAAAATAAAACTAATAAATTTCAAAATCATATCAGTTCCACAAGTATTTTTGTTATAGTATTGAAATCTAGTGAAATAAAAAAAATAGGTGGAAGCAGCAACTTTTGAATTAGTTTCAAAATTACCTGCTTTTGCAAAGAGAAATAAACTTAAAATTTACGGAAGAACCTTCGTTATTCCTTATTAACTACCCACGCAAAAATAATTAAAACGAAATACCTATGTACTATATGCAGAGAGGATTTTGTTAAGGAAATTTCTTTAAAAACAATGTTTTACTCTCACTGGATTAACCTTTAACGGGCTTTCAAAATTGGCATTATTTGAATATAACTCGAAAAAGGAGGAAGACATAAAGAAGAATAACTTTCAGATATTATAAAAAGTCTAGTCTATAGTCTATTCAATAGTCAGGTCTATAGTCTAGATAATAGTATATAATCTAGTCTATAGTCTAGTCTATAGTCTAGTCTATAGTCTAGTCTATAGTCTAGTCTATAGTCTAGTCTATAGTCTAGTCTATAGTCTAGTCTATAGTCTAGTCTATAGTCTAGTCTATAGTCTAGTCTATAGTCTAGTCTATAGTCTAGTCTATAGTCTAGTCTATAGTCTAGTCTATAGTCTAGTCTATAGTCTAGTCTATAGTCTAGTCTATAGTCTAGTCTATAGTCGAGTCTATAGTCTAGTCTATAGTCTAGTCTATAGTCTAGTCTATAGTCTAGTCTATAGTCTAGTCTATAGTCTAGTCTATAGTCTAGTCTATAGTCTAGTCTATAGTCTAGTCTATAGTCTAGTCTATAGTCTAGTCTATAGTCTAGTCTATAGTCTAGTCTATAGTCTAGTCTATAGTCTAGTCTATAGTCTAGTCCATAGTCTAGTCTATAGTCTAGTCTATAGTCTAGTCTATAGTCTAGTCTATAGTCTAGTCTATAGTCTAGTCCATAGTCTAGTCTATAGTCTAGTCTAGTCTATAGTCTAGTCTAGTCTATAGTCTAGTCTAGTCTATAGTCTAGTCTATAGTCTAGTCTATAGCCTAGTCTATAGTCTAGTCTATAGTCTAGTCTATAGTCTAGTCTATAGTCTAGTCTATAGTCTAGTCTATAGTCTAGTCTATAGTCTAGTCCATAGTCTAGTCTATAGTCTAGTCTATAGTCTAGTCTATAGTCTAGTCTATAGTCTAGTCTATAGTCTAGTCTATAGTCTAGTCTATAGTAGTCTATAGTCTAGTCTATAGTCTAGTCTATAGTCTAGTCTATAGTCTAGTCTATAGTCTAGTCTATAGTCTAGTCTATAGTCTAGTCTATAGTCTAGTCTATAGTCTAGTCTATAGTCTAGTCTATAGTCTAGTCTATAGTCTAGTCTATAGTCTAGTCTATAGTCTAGTCTATAGTCTAGTCTATAGTCTAGTCTATAGTCTAGTCTATAGTCTAGTCTATAGTCTAGTCTATAGTCTAGTCTATAGTCTAGTCTATAGTCTAGTCTATAGTCTAGTCTATAGTCTAGTCTATAGTCTAGTCTATAGTCTAGTCTATAGTCTAGTCTATAGTCTAGTCTATAGTCTAGTCTATAGTCTAGTCTATAGTCTAGTCTATAGTCTAGTCTATAGTCTAGTCTATAGTCTAGTCTATAGTCTAGTCTATAGTCTAGTCTATAGTCTAGTCTATAGTCTAGTCTATAGTCTAGTCTATAGTCTAGTCTATAGTCTAGTCTATAGTCTAGTCTATAGTCTAGTCTATAGTCTAGTCTATAGTCTAGTCTATAGTCTAGTCTATAGTCTAGTCTATAGTCTATTCTATAGTCTAGTCTATAGTCTAGTCTATAGTCTAGTCTATAGTCTAGTCTATAGTCTAGTCTATAGTCTAGTCTATAGTCTAGTCTATAGTCTAGTCTATAGTCTAGTCTATAGTCTAGTCTATAGTCTAGTCTATAGTCTAGTCTATAGTCTAGTCTATAGTCTAGTCTAGTCTAGTAGTCTAGTCTATAGTCTAGTCTATAGTCTAGTCTATAGTCTAGTCTATAGTCTAGTCTATAGTACAGTTCATAGTCTAGTCTATAGTCTGGTCTATGAAAATAATAAAGACTATCCTTGAGTCTATAGACTACATTACAGACTATAGTACTTTGGTTGCGAGAAGAATCTGGACTAGACTATGGACCAGGCTATAGACTAGATTATAGACTAGACTTTACATTAGACTATATACTAGAATATTAATTGGTTATTAATATAGACTAGACAAATAGCTGAGGTCGTACAATGTTATCAGTTAAATCCTTACGAAACATTTCTGACCCCGGTCCACAATTAAGGGTTAAACGAGTATCTATTGTTTACACATGAGTACTTGAGTACAAAAATTTAACTCTTCGGCTTTTTCCCTCATTTTGCAAAAAACTTACACAGTATTTGTTAGAACCAAAAAATAACAACAAATATGCTTACATTAATATCGTTGTTGTTGGTTGCTATTGTAATAATTAATTGAGACGAACAAACTAGTATACGATTTTGTTTGTATTTGCGTATTTTGTGCTGATTCTCTCTATATATTTTGTTCTTTCTTCTCATTTCTTGTTCTTTCATTATTTTTGTTTTCAGTTTATATTTGCCTTTACTATACTTCGCACACGGTGAACAAATGTGTTTTTGTACCAAACATCAGAGTCATTATTTACAATTTTATTTTTTTGGATAAGAATTTAAAATTAAATTCTATTTTATTATACTAATTCATAGTTTTATTGTGTGTTTTATGTTTATGTATATGAATAAGAAGGAAAAGAATTGTGTTTTAATTTAAAAAGTGGAAGTCCGAGTACGTGTTGTTGTTAATTTTTTTTTGAAAATTTTTGATAAAGATAAAACGTGACATTTATATGAAAAGGAAGTGTGGAAATCTGTTCAATCCTTTAAGTTAAAATTCAGATTTTGCTACAGCTGCCAATTTTGGAAAGAGTATTTTTATAAAATTTATATAAATAGAAGTAAATATTTAAGGAAAAAGATTATTTAGTAATACATCTGTTTCTGGTGTGGGTGAGTAAATGGAAGTGTTTATTGATTGAAAGTGCTTGGAATTAAAGTTCATTAGTTTCTGGAAACAACTAGATATGTACACTGAAATAAATTATAAAAAAATATATATTTTATAAATTTTTAAATTTCAATTTATGACGATCTTACATTGTATTTAGTTCAGTTCTACTGCAGTTCAAGCTTAGAGCAATTCAAGCTTAGATTCAGTTCCAGTTCAATTCTAGTTCAGTTCTAGTTCAGTTCTAGTTCAGTTCTAGTTCTAGTTCAGTCTAGTTCAGTTCTAGTTCAGTTCTAGTTCAGTTCTAGTTCAGTTCTAGTTCAGTTCTAGTTCAGTTCTAGTTCAGTTCTAGTTCAGTTCTAGTTCAGTTCTAGTTCAGTTCTAGTTCAGTTCTAGTTCAGTTCTCAGTTCTAGTTCAGTTCTAGTTCAGTTCTAGTTCTAGTTCAGTTCTAGTTCTAGTTCAGTTCTAGTTCTAGTTCTAGTTCAGTTCTAGTTCAGTTCTAGTTCAGTTCTAGTTCAGTTCTAGTTCAGTTCTAGTTCAGCTCTAGTTCAGTTCTAGTTCGGTTCTAGTTCAGTTCTAGTTCAGTTCTAGTTCTAGTTCAGTTCTAGTTCAGTTCTAGTTCAGTTCTAGTTCAGTTCTAGTTCAGTTCTAGTTCTAGTTCAGTTCTAGTTCAGTTCTAGTTCGGTTCTAGTTCAGTTCTAGTTCAGTTCTAGTTCAGTTCTAGTTCAGTTTCTAGTTCAGTTCTAGTTTAGTTCTAGTTCAGTTCTAGTTCAGTTCTAGTTCAGTTCTAGTTCAGTTCTAGTTCAGTTCTAGTTCAGTTCTAGTTCAGTTCTAGTTCAGTTCTAGTTCAGTTCTAGTTCAGTTCTAGTTCAGTTCTAGTTCAGTTCTAGTTCAGTTCTAGTTCAGTTCTAGTTCAGTTCTAGTTCAGTTCTAGTTCAGTTCTAGTTCAGTTCTAGTTCAGTTCTAGTTCAGTTCTAGTTCAGTTCTAGTTCAGTTCTAGTTCAGTTCTAGTTCAGTTCTAGTTCAGTTCTAGTTCAGTTCTAGTTCAGTTCTAGTTCAGTTCTAGTTCAGTTCTAGTTCAGTTCTAGTTCAGTTCTAGTTCAGTTCTAGTTCAGTTCTAGTTCAGTTCTAGTTCAGTTCTAGTTCAGTTCTAGTTCAGTTCTAGTTCAGTTCTAGTTCAGTTCTAGTTCAGTTCTAGTTCAGTTCTAGTTCAGTTCTAGTTCAGTTCTAGTTCAGTTCTAGTTCAGTTCTAGTTCAGTTCTAGTTCAGTTCTAGTTCAGTTCTAGTTCAGTTCTAGTTCAGTTCTAGTTCAGTTCTAGTTCAGTTCTAGTTCAGTTCTAGTTCAGTTCTAGTTCAGTTCTAGTTCAGTTCTAGTTCAGTTCTAGTTCAGTTCTAGTTCAGTTCTAGTAGTTCTAGTTCTAGTTCATAGTTCAGTTCTAGTTCAGTTCTAGTTCAATTCTAGTTCTGTTCTAGTTCAGTTCTAGTTTAGTTCTAGTTCTGTTCTAGTTCTGTTCTAGTTCTGTTCTAGTTCTGTTCTAGTTCTGTTCTAGTTCTGTTCTAGTTCTGTTCTAGTTCAGTTCTAGTTCAGTTCTAGTTCAGTTCTAGTTCAGTTCTAGTTCAGTTCTAGTTCAGTTCTAGTTCAGTTCTAGTTCAGTTCTATTTCAGTTCTAGTTCAGTTCTAGTTCTGTTCTATTTCAGTTCTAGTTCAGTTCTAGTTCAGTTCTAGTTCAGTTCTAGTTCAGTTCTAGTTCAGTTCTAGTTCAGTTCTAGTTCTAGTTCAGTTCTAGTTCAGTTCTAGTTCAGTTCTAGTTCAATTCTAGTTCAGTTCTAGTTCAGTTTTAGTTCAATTCTAGTTCTGTTCTAGTTCAGTTCTAGTTTAGTTCTAGTTTAGTTCTAGTTCTGTTCTAGTTCTGTTCTAGTTCTGTTCTAGTTCTGTTCTAGTTCTGTTCTAGTTCTGTTCTAGTTCTGTTCTAGTTCAGTTATGGTCAGCCATCTTCGACATACATTTAACTAGAAATATTTTTTAATAAGCATCTATCTCTATCGTTACATTCCCACCAGATAACATTAGATAACGTAATAGAACTAAAAAAAATAAAAAAGAAAGAGAAGTATTAATACTGTGCTCCATAAACTTATCAACACTGTGGTTGGTGAAGACATTAACATTTTAAGTCACCAACTAGTTTAAGCAGTATTATAACCCCCTTAAAAACATCAGCCATGGCCTCCCGGAATTATGTGATATTTGACTGTGATGGTGGTAGTGATGATGCCTGGGCATTGCTGTTGCTACTAAAAGCGGAAGCTGAAAATCATTTAAGCATTTTAGGCATCACCATATGTGGCAGTGGCAACACAACACTACACAATGCAGCTTACAATATGTTAAGAATATTAAGGGCTTGTGGCAGAGATGAGGTATAAATTTAAGACAGATTAGCATACAATTACATTCTAATGATTTCATTCTTATTTCCTTAGATACCAATATTCCTAGGAGCCGCGGAATCTCTTTTATCAGCTGAAGATCGCGAAAAACGTCCTTTATTTCATGGCAAAGATGGTTTTGGTGATGTTTTGCCACAGGATGAAGATATAGACGTACAGGATATGGTGGAAGGTGAACATGCTGTGGCAGCTATAAATCAATTTTGTATAGAGGTGAGTAGATTAAAGGGAAAGTTTGAGGCAATCATATTTATTAGTGTTTCTTTTTTTGTTGGTGTTTTAGAATCCTAGACAAGTTACCATAATTGCTGTGGGACCTTTAACGAATATAGCCTTATGCTATTCCATGTATGGCCAGGAGTTTTCTTATAATATTAAGGAATTGTATATAATGGGTGGAAACCATCAGGGTGAGTACAAAATGTTTCCTATTAGATTTCTAAGCCACTAAATTTAATATTGTAATCCTTAAAAATGGATTGTTTACAATAATTTTTAATAAATTTTAGGTGTTGGCAACTACTCTAGATCGGCTGAATTTAATTTTTTCAATGATCCTGAAGCTGCCCATATTGTCTTAACAAAATCAAAGTGTCCTATAACTATACTACCCTGGGAGCCTTGCATGCATGACAGATTTTTCATATGCATTGTAAGTTCTATAGCTCTTATCTCAGTTGATCCATTTAATTAATAGAAAATTAGCTTTAAAAGTTCTAATTTCTATGAAAATGTTATATCTTTTAGAAATGGCGGCTTGAACAATTCGGCTCTAAAGCTAGTCAAAACCCCGCCGTCGACTTGCTTAATCTAGTCGAAGCTGCTCAGTATTTACCACCCGGCTATAAGGGATGGAATCCTTGTGATGCCATGCTAGTCGCTGCGTTTCTCTTCAATACCCAAGTCATCTTAAAACAAAGTCATTGGCATTGTGTGGTCGATTTAAATGGCCATACACGCGGTCAAATGGTTCTCGATCATTTGCAGGAGGTGGATAAAAATCCTAAAAATGTGCGTATTATTGAACTGATGGATGCAGAATTCTTTAAAAAGGTTGCCGAATGGGGTTCGGGTTTGAGAGAGTTAAGTGTGGATTTGGCGGGCGGCAAGGAAGCAATAAAAGCGGAGATAAAACAGGAAAATGGCTGTTGAAGTATGAAGGAGCAGAAATTTGTAAATATTTCGGTTGGATATATACATATAAGATTTTATTGCATTTTTTGTAATTTATTGTATTAATAAATGTTATTATTAAATTATTAAATTTGAGTATTTGTTTTACATAGTGGACTAATATGATAAAGTTAAAACGAATGTACTTCACACCAAAGCTAGGTAGATAGATAGATAGATAGATAGATAGATAGATAGATAGATAGATAGATAGATAGATAGATAGATAGATAGATAGATAGATAGATAGATAGATAGATAGATAGATAGATAGATAGATAGATAGATAGATAGATAGATAGATAGATAGATAGATAGATAGATAGATAGATAGATAGATAGATAGATAGATAGATAGATAGATAGATAGATAGATAGATAGATAGATAGATAGATAGATAGATAGATAGATAGATAGATAGATAGATAGATAGATAGATAGATAGATAGATAGATAGATAGATAGATAGATAGATAGATAGATAGATAGATAGATAGATAGATAGAAGATAGATAGATAGATAGATAGATAGATAGATAGATAGATAGATAGATAGATAGATAGATAGATAGATAGATAGATAGATAGATAGATAGATAGATAGATAGATAGATGGATGGATAGATAGATAGATAGATAGATAGATAGATAGATGGATAGATAGATAGATAGATAGATAGATAGATAGATAGATAGATAGATAGATAGATAGATAGATAGGTAATAGATAGATAGATAGATAGATAGATAGATAGATAGATAGATAGATAGATAGATAGATAGATAGATAGATAGATAGATAGATAGATAGATAGATAGATAGATAGATAGATAGATAGGTAAATAGATAGATAGATAGATAGATAGATAGATAGATAGATAGATAGATAGATAGATAGATAGATAGATAGATAGATAGATAGATAGATAGATAGATAGATAGATAGATAGATAGATAGATAGATAGACAGATAGTTATATATTTAGATAGATATTCGTAATGTTTTTTCCAGGCTTGAAAAAAATATCTAGAGATCATTTTGGTTTATTTAACCGACTTCACAGATAATTTTGCGAGTATTGTTTGTTTACATATCGGTATACATCCAATTTTCCTTAAACTTTAAAACTAAAATTGATTTTTACTAAATTTCCCATTTCCACTCATACAAATTTAACGTATTTTCCGTCAACAATGAAATCTTACAACTGGCAACACTGTTTTAGTAAATATGGCAGCCTTAATGCAAAAAAAGTACTGCCTAGTTTTCAGAGGAAATACTTTATCAAAACAAAACCGGAATAGAAACAAAGAGAAACCGAGTAAAAGAAAAAACACAGAAAGTAATTGACAAAACAGCTAATAAGAAGAAAACGCAAGCAAACAATAAACGTTATAATCAAAACAAAAAAACAAAACAATCGCATAAAAAGTGAAAACAATAAAAGCCAAAATAAAAGGAAATCCAAAAACGAATGTCAAATACCAATGTCTAATAAGAAATACTAAAAAAACAACAAACAAACACACGCACACATTCGATCGCCAAACAAAATAACACACACTAAAAATACCAATCAGAACGTTACGAACCGTGCTAGAGAAGAGACCGTTATTTCGAGACGCGCACTCAATATTTAAAGGCAAAAACAAAATAAATAAACAAACCTTTTTAACAGTTAACGGTTGTTGTAGTTGTTTTTCGATTAAGGAAAGAGAACAAAGAATGTGTTTTAGTTAAAGATATACAAAGAGAAACTAGGAAATAAAAAAAAGTAACAAATAAAGGGTCTGCTGCTTCTTTTACTTCCTGTAATTTGCCAACTTCTTGTTGTTGTTTTTTTAGTTTTGCTAACAAAAACAAAGTTGCCTACATGTAGCAGTTTAAAGGAATAACTTTTCGTGTTTTTGAGTGGTTAACGGAATATAGTGTGAAAAAATAAACTACAATAAAAAAAATATAGAAAAAACACAACAACGGTTACTATCGCATCAAAAGGCAAAGGAAGAAAAAAAAAACGAACGAAACGAAGCTACAACAACAATAACAACTACAATAGAAAATATAAAATTGTTTTGACTGTTTCGCGTGTGTCGTATGCCAGTTGTGCTGCTACTTTTCTTTCAAGTAGTTGCGGGCATAGCACTCTTCATATTTCTATTACATTATTTAAGTTACATTTTTAATGCCATCATACGCGATTTCTGTGAAACTCTATTAACAACCAAAGAATTTCTACAACAATTGCAAGAAGCATACGGTGCTGCCGACAACGACGATCCACAGACCAGCGTCAACAGGAATTTCACCAAAATTCCAATTAAAGTTCAGAAAATGCAACAAACATCAGATGATGCTAAATTTATTAAAAGTGAGTGTAAAATTAAACTAAAAGAAAAGAAAAATTAAAAGCAAAAATGCCGGTATTATGTTTTTAACAAAAGTATTAATGAAAAAAGAAATTATTAAAACAAGTGTGCAAAATTATTGCAAGAAAAAGCTAATTTCTTATAAATTTTAAAGCAAGTGTATGAAAAAAACATCAACGAAAATTTAAGAAAATTCCTATAAAATTTTCTATGTATTGTATTGTGTCTGTCGTCAACTTTATTGATTTTCCCATTTTCCCTTTAAACGAATGTATATAATTTTTTTCTCTTTCGTCTATATACACGAACAATAATATTTTCCGCGCACGCAGCCACCCATTAATCGAATGTTACCAGATTGTTTAAGTGTTTTGTATACGTTTTTATGTAGTTAAAAATCTACTTATAAGATACAATTTTGAAAAAATCCAAGAAGAATTATAAATAATAAAGTACAAATAAGAAAATTAATAAGGATTATAAGACAAAAATTAAAAAAAAAAAAATACGTTGGGGTCAAAAGTTTTTAAATTGTTATCAAAATGTTACCGAACCTAAATTTGGTCTATATTTTTCTATTAGTCAAGATCTATGTATGTATTCCTAAAGATTTAAAGTCTTCGCTATAGCGTTTTAGGTGTAATTGACTAAACTTTCCATTAGGTTCCGTAGTTACAGTATCTATTAATTTTTATTTATATCGATTTTAGAGCACAATTTTTATGTTTTTGAAAAGCAAATTTTTTTTTTTGCTGTGGTTTTTCTATTCATGACTAAACATGAAAATTTTTAAATAGAGACGTAAATAAAAACATACAAATATTTTACTTTAAATTAAAATTATATGTCATCGAATCCATTAACTGATTGTACTTAATATGTATGTATGTAGTACCTAAAATATAATATAAATTATCTTTATTTGCAATTATTTAATAACAATTCTATAATCACAACTTCTAGCACTTTGTACCCCAAATTGTTGTTGTTGGATTATTAATTGCATTGATAACTCAAATATAGAAAATCCAAGTAAATTTTGATTTAAAATGAATTAAATTTTAAAAAATATTTAAGGCATATTTTTGATTGCCCTGTTCATTATACTCCAAACCCTCTAATAAGGAGAGAATAAAGCAATTATGTTTGTAAAGCTTTAATTAATCCTTTATCCTTTAATCACTTAAGAATAAATTCCAAAAAATAAATATCAGGTCCGTGCTAGAAGAAATTGTTTAGGAGCTAGCTAATAAGAATTAGTGCAGAATTTGTGTATAATACTATCTAAAAGGGACATTTTTGCTTTTATTGATTAAATATCTTTTCATTTTTAAATAAACTTAATGAAAACCATACAAAAAATGTGGGCGCTATCATGACCACACCCAATTTATTTGTTCGGTTTGATTTTATGTTTTGAAAATTTTCTTTTGATTACTATTTAAAGCTAAAATTTACTAAAGTCGGCATGTAGCATAACAAATATATCCAAAATATTTTTATTGACCATGCCCACTTATAAAAAATTTAAAAATATACTATAATGTTAAAAATAATCAACTTTTATCATTAAAGTTGTAAATTTTTGTATACAATTATCGGTTTTACTAAATTATTAACAAAATAATAGCAAAATTGGGCGTTGGTTATAGGCATGGTTATCATAAAAATTATATTAGATTATTATATAAATTTTAATACATTTTAAAGATATTTTGTAAAATTGAATTGCATTTTCTAACATACGTGCATAAATGTTCTATATAAAAAGTAGGCGTGTCCTTATAATATTAACGCCTACTTATTTAAAATATTTTGATTTTATATAAGCTTGATTCAGTTTGTCTTTTTTACGATTATTACTTTTTATTGTACTCAAGAATAACAAAATTAGCAGTAGCATACGTAGTGGGCGTGGTCATGATATAACCGCTCCCTTTTTTCGGTTTTTTCTAACTCTTATTGTGAAAATATATATATATATATACTTTATATGAAGTTGCAATGTTGCGAAAATTTAAAGTTTCCCATGAAAGTGAACAAAAGTAGTTATCTTAAGAGGCCCTTTTATACAAAGAAAATTATTTAATTTTTTAATTAATTAATAATCAATATATTGCTGGATGTAGGCATATTGCTTATACTGCTTCAAATTATCTGTCAATATTTCAATTCAACATATTAAACTAAACATTTTTAGAAATTTATATAAAAAACATAAACAAATTGCTGAAAGTTTTGGCTAAATCTATATAAAATTAAAACTAATAAATGTCGATCTATTAAAAACTACGCTTTGCATACCTTCAACTGATGTTTTTCAAATTGAAAACTCACTTTATCTCATATTCTACAATCCCCCTATTTGTAGGCAATAATAAAAGCACCACCAACAACAACCACCTATCTGGCAACACACCTCCTTTTAGTAAATACTCGTACAATGCATACACAACAAAAACAACAACAAATACAAAACAAGTGCTTACTCATACACTAACGGGAAAAACACTCTCTCAAACACACACAAAATCATTTTAGTATAAAACCTAACGGTATATTATTGTATTTTCCATTTTATCCATGTGTGATTAATAAAAGATAAAGAAAATTTCTTAAAGAACCTCTAAGACGAAAAAAAAATCAAATAAATTTGCAAAATTTTCGTTTTTAAAATTGACGTAAACAAATTATAAAAATAACAAAAACAATAAAACAAAATTATTATAAAAGAAAATTATAAATTCTAACGAAAATAAAAAGAAAATACGAAAAAGTGTTTAAAAATTTTTGTTTAGTGATTTTTGGTTTTCTGTTTTCTTCTGTTGCCATTTATTAATCTCCCTTTAATTTCAACACAAAAAAAAAAATTGTCATCTTTTAAAGAAAAATATAAATTTCTTTTTTATTTATTTGAAAAAAAAATAATTGCTACCTCCTGTGAAACGTTTTATAAATAAAAAAAAAAATGCTAAAAAATAAAACAAACGCGAAATTAATGCAAAAAATTAACACAACGAAACCAAAACCTAATGCAAACTCAAACCTAAACAGACGTTGGAAAGGTGGCAGTATTGAACCTCATCCCACTGATAAAGCCTTAATTGTCAACTACCAGCTGGAGGCTACAGTGTTTGGTGAACCCAATAATCCTATGCTGGAAGAGAAAAAGGTAAGTGTTTCAGTTTTTTTTTTTTTTTTGTTTGTTTTATGTTTCTTATTTATTTTTGTAAGTTGTTGTTATTGCGACAGTAAGTGTTATTACTTTCGCAAAGGACTTTGTTATTGGTTTTTCTTATTATGGAAAATGTTGTTGTAAGGGACGATGATTCTTTTACTCTCCCCTTTTTTTGAAGACGACATTGTGATGGGGATGAAGAAATTTTGAATGGTACTTTTTGGTACTAAGCAGGGATGGAAATTCAGTACTATTGAACTCTTTTTTGTTACTTTTTGATATTGATAAGCAGGGATGGAAAATTCAGTACTATTGAACTCTTTTTTGTTACTTTTTGATATTGAGAAGTATCTCAAGTCCTTCACTAGATACATATAGACAAAGTAGACCATGGAATAATTTAATCAATAGACTTAGTAGACTACTATATAAACTAGTCCATGCACTTGTTCTTAGAATAGACTATAGTCGAGTCCATAGACTAGTCTATATACTTGTTTGTGAACTAGTCCATACACTAATCGATAGACTAGTCAATATTCTAATCAATATACTAGATTATTGACTAATCAATACAATGTCTAATTCATAGACTATTATATAGGTATAGACTACAGTATAGATAGGTATAGACTACTCTAGTCCATAGACTAGTCAAAACTCCATATACAAGTCAATAGACACTAAACTAAGTATTCTATAGACTAGTCCATAGACTTTTAAATAGTCTCGTCAATAGGCGAGTAAATAGTATAGTCTATAGACTAGTTAATAGACTAGTCCATGAACTTATCAATATATAGTCAATAGTCCAGTTCATAGATTAGTTCAAAAACTAATAGACAGTCCAGAGACAATAGTCTAGTCCATAGCAAAAGTTTAGTCCATAGCCTAATCAAAATACTAATCCATAGACTAGTCAAAAGTCTAGTCCATAGACAGTTGATAGTCAAGTCCATATACTAGTCAATAGACTAACCCTTAGACTAGTAAATAATGACATCAATAGACAAGTTAGTAAAGTCACTATTCAATAGAGTAGGCCATAGACTAGTCAATAGTCTAGTCAAGAAATAGACTATAGTCTAGTCCATATATTAGTCAAAACTTAAGTCCATATACTAGTTAATAAACACTAAACTAAGTATTCAATAGACTAGTCCATAGACTTTTAAATAGTCTAGTCTATAGACTAGTCTATTAAGTCCATGATCAATAGATAGTCAAAAGTCCATAGACTAGACCATAGCCTAGCCAATAGACTAGTCCATAGGCTAGTCAATAGTCTAGTCCATAGATTAGTTCACAGACTAATAGACAGCTCATAGACTAATCAATATACTGGTCAATAGAATAGCCAAATGTCTAGTCCACAGACTAGACAATAGGCTAGTCCATAGACTAGTGAAAAGTGTAGTCCATAGACTTGTCAAAAGTCTAGTCCATAGACTAGTCAATAGACTAGTTAATTGACTAGTTAACTGACTAGTTAATTGACTAGTCAATAGATTAGCCCTTTAGACTAGTCAACAATCTAATCAATTGACTAGTTAGTAAAGTAACTAGTCCATAGAGTAATCAATAGACTGGACAATGTAATAGTTCAAAGTCTGGACCATATGTTAGTCAATAGTCTAGTCCATAGGCTAGTCAATAGACTAGTTCAAAGGCTAGTCAATAGTCTAGTCCATAGAGTAGTCAATAGTTTAATCCACAGACTAGAAGATCAACCAATCAACAGAATCGTTCGAAGACTAGTAACCAGTCAAAAGTCTACTCCACAGACTAGTCAATAGTCTAGTCCACAGATTAGTTAATAGTCTAGTTCATGTATAGTCTTGTAAGACTAGCCCATAGTCTATAATCGAATTTAGTCTAAATTTCCATTATTAATTTAATTTTAAACAGAAAGTACTTTTGTACTATTTCAAAACCATTTAGTATTATATCGAAAATGTATCAAATCTCTAAGTAATTTTGCCGGTCTGCTATTTGTATTGACCCGCCCTCCCTCTCTTCTCATTTTATTTTACCCCTAAAAATGTTGTTAGTTCATTTTTTATTTTTTCATGGTTTAATATTTATTATTTTTATTTTGTTTTAGTCAAATGACTAATGGCCTGTGTGTGAAATGAAAAATTTTCATTTTTTCTTGTTGCCGCTGTGGTTGGGTTCTTGTGTTTTTTTTTCTCTCTGTACATTTTTTAATGAATTTTGCAGACACATTTTTTTGATATTGGAATTTAGTTCTTTTTTTTTTCTGTTTTTACTTAGATTATTTACTTTCCATCCCTTAATATTTTATAACTTGTGGTTTGATGTTAAAAACATCAATTATGAAATTAAAATAAAAAAGAAAAACAAACATGAAAGGAAATTATTAAAGTGTTTTTCAACAAAAGCCTTATTTTATAAACGATTTAAGATTTAATGTTATGGAAAATACACAATTATTTATCTGGCAACAGATTTTCAGATTTAATCAATTTTAATTGTTGTAAATTAATCATTGAAAATTATATAATTTTCCTTAAAAAAAGATTTAATGATTCATATTAGTTTACAGGGATTTATGTATGTTTTTGTGGATTGAGTTTATCTGACAGCACAATGTCAATGTTTTGAAAATCGAAATTTTGAAAATGAAATTTTGTTCTCAATAGAAAATATTGAGCTTTTATTTACTCATTAATAAAACCAAATGACACCCTCTGATGTTTTTAAACTTTTGGTCATGACTCACTACTGTCCCACATAATTGTGCGATTTCGAACTGAATTTTGTTTATAACAAATTATTATGTTTGTTATTTTAAACCTGAAAATTGGGATTTTTTACAAAATTTCGAATTGGTGAAATTTTGAATTTCGAATTTCGAGTTTCTAGTGAAATTTCTAATTTTTAGTGAAATTTCTAATTTCTAGTGAATTTTCGAATTTCTAGTGAAATTTCAAATTTCTAGTAAATTACGAATTTCTAGTAAAATTTCGAATTTCTAGAAAAATTTCGATTTTCTAGTGAAATTTCGAATTTCTAGAGAATTTTTGAATTTCTAGAAACATTTTAGAATATCTAGTTAAATTTCGAATTCCTGGAGAAATTTCGAATTTTTAGAGAAATTTCGAATTTCTAGTAAAATTTGAAATTTCTAGTGAAATTTCGAATTTCTAGTGAAATTCCGAATTTCTAGTGAAATTTTGAATTTTTAGTGAAATTTCGAATTTTTAGTGAAATTTCGAATTTATAGTGAAATTTCGAATTTCTAGTGAAATTTTGAATTTCTATTGAAATTTCGAATTTTTAGTGAAATTTCGAATTTCTAGTGAAACTTCGAATTTCTAGTGAATTTTTATAGTGAAACAATTTTGAATTTCTAGTGAAATTTGAAATTTCTATTGGAAATTTAGCGAGAACTGAATTAAACATTCAGAGTCCTGAGTGAATGAAAATCTGTAGGAAAGGATTTTTGGTACTTTTTTGTTCTTCAAGTGGTACTTTTTGGTTTTTCTGCAATATTAAAAATATATAAAAGTGAATTTTTTTGTACTTTTTGTTATTCCACTGGTACTTTTTGAATATTGAACCTAGTAGCGTAAAATTAAAGACGCATCATATTTGATTGAATGAAAATCTTTAAAAGGAAACTTTCTGGTACTTTTTCGCCATTCAATTAGTACTTTTTTTGATTCTCTGAATTATATATTAGATCGTGATAGAATGAAAAGAGTGAATTTTTTGGTACTTTTTGAATATAGAAACGCAAAATTAAATTAAATTTGATTGAATGAAAAGCTAAAAAAGGGAAGTTTCTGGTACTTTTTTGTCATTCAATTAGTTCTTTTTTGATTCTCTGAATTAATGAACCTAGAAACATAAATTTATATATAAGGGATCATGATGGAATAAACATCCATAGCAGGGAATTTTTTGGCACTTTTTGTTTTTCAACTGGTACTTTTTGATTTCATATTTGTAATGAACTTTCCATTGAAATTTCAAGAGAACCAAAGAATTCGTATTAACATATGAATGTCCCGCAATTAGGTTCGCGTTAGGAACCCCAAAGATTTCTTTCTCATAACCAGAACGGACAAGGGATTTCAGGCAACCGGTTCCCTTGATACCCTATAGGATCACTGCACTATACTATTGAATAAGGTAGTCTCTATTTACGGGAATGTAGGATGTCAGAGAACTTGTCCCAGTAAGAGCCATGAGAGAGAAAGAGAGACCAGGTTCACAAAAACATTTCAAAGTGTTTAAAAGTCCGGTGAAAACTCAAAGATTTAAGTTTGCGATCCTCAAGTGAGTCTCCCTCATCACCATAGAAAGTCATCGTAATGCTAAAACTCAAACAATTGTAAAGCGACAAAGAAAGACTTAGTTGTAAATAACATTTCAAAATATCTTTGAGAACCTGGTGATCTTGACCTCCTATCAATAAAGAACAATATTTGAGTTATCTGAGGGTTGAAATAAATTGAAAATCATTTTATAAATGTATAATTAAATCTTTTTTAGTGATTCCGCAAATATTTTTAACCTTCATATTACATTTTACCTTTAAAATAAACAATAATTCGCAGATCATTGCATTAGTTAGGCACAAAATTTCAAGACATTTCAAGACAGAATAGTCAAAAAGTACTATTTAAAAGGTACTTTTTTTAATAAAATTTAAGATTTTTATAAAAATTAGTTGAAAATCAAATCACAAAAATAATTATGTAGTTTAATTTAAAAAAAAATAATATTTATTATTTTTTTAAAAATTAAATTATGTCAAAGAAATAAAATTCTCATTTGTTTAATAAATTTTCAAAATGCTAAATTTCTTATTTAAGTGTTAAACAAATCTTAGAATTGATTAATATTTTAAATCTAAAGTAAATAGAAATAAATTACTTGAGATATTAATTAAAAAAAAAAACAAAACAAAATACCAAAAATACTTAAAACAATAAATAATAAATAAAATTTAATAAGTTAGCACA